AATGATAACTTGAATGATGATATATACAGGAATGGCATATTGTTTATATGTCATTTCTTTTCAAGGTCATAAAAGAATTTGGTCAGATTACGTAGTATATTGAATATTTATTCTGGATGTTTCGACGTGCATCTTCTTTTATGAATCACAAACACAACTAACAGTAAGGAGCAAATAACAACAAAATTTCCTTGGTTTAACTTCATGTATGTAAAATGGTTTATTTCAAAGAGCTTTACTGAATTAAAAATTGTATCTGCTGTTTACGCAATATATGCATGGAAGAGTTAGACAGCGTGTGTTTTGATGACCATTCGTTTCATCTAATGATGTGTTTCAAATGTTTTATAATAGTAACTATTTAAAATAAACTGCTTTTGTTTTAGAAAATACGTGTTAGTTTTGATATACTTTTTTGTACTGGAAGAGCATGGAAGTTGATAAATCTTGAAGGTTACTGCCCGTTCAGTGGCCCCAATAAAAGGGCACTGGTCTCTCTCCCTCTGTGTAAATGTGTGCGTGCTATAAATATGAAAATCATATATATGACTCTCGAGTTAGTGAACAGACGGCGACGGTTCTATTTATCAATTTCAAATGCTTTTACATCAAAGCGGTAAAAAGGAGTCTAAGCTCTTGAGTTGAAATGGGGTGACAAGTTGTGAAGCATGGATTTTTTTATGTTCACTAAAAACAGTTCTTATTCTTCGAAGTTGTTTATAAGCAAAGAATGTATACTCACTGTTCCATTTAGTCTTTTACTCTTCTTAGGTTAAAAGACTCGAAAGTCCACAATCTGCAGAGGCGGATTTGGGGGGGGGGGGGAGGGGCAGGGGCCCGGGCGCCCTTTTATGGGAAAAATTTGGTTGATTATATAGGGAATCACTGAAGCATGACTGGAGCGGGGCCCCTCATGAAAATTTCTGGATCCGCCACTGATCTGGTATCTTTAATTCCCTACCCCTACCCACTACCTATTTCCTACTCTCAAATAAATTTAATCTTATATCTCAGATATTAATCTGGATCCAAGATAGTTCATGCCGAGGCATTGTCAACTAGTTATGACCTTATTTTCATTCTCTAATAGTTAGGTTGAGTTTTCAGGGTTATGTTTGATGTCTGTGTTCAATTTATTTACAATTTTCCTGACCTCGAATCCACGGGCGCTTGGGGGAATGGCCTCCCCTTTTTCCTAAATATTTGTTTGTGTGTTTTAATGTTTTAGCAAAAATCCTGTTATATATTGTAATATTGTAACTCATTTTCACTAATCAAATGTGTTCTTGCATTAAATAAGTGTAAGTAAGTTAAGTATTACAGAATATTTACTAAAACACAAAAAAGAATATTTAGAAAAACGGAAGTCTATTGCTCAAACCAGGTAAAGACAACAGACAATAAAAATGAAAGTGACAAAAATCGAAATCGAATGAACCCCAAACGAAGTGAGATAAGCTGAATCGACAGGATGAACAGCTCTCATAAACGTTTTAAACGCCACACATGATTCCAAAACACTTGCAGTAGTAGGCGTAGAAGCCAGCCAATAGGTCGAGAGGGTCATTATGTCAGATGGCCACAGTTAGGGACCTTTGTTGTCTATTATACTGAGGTAATACAGTTCCGAACTTTCTTCTAAATTTCTGTTGTGTGTTCGCCTGTGTACGTTTGTTACGACACTACACTGGCCGAGATAAAAAGGGGATTGAGATCAAATTAATTCAAGCCGCCGCAAAAGTTCGTGTTTCTGTTTATGTCAGGACCCTTGTCAGTGATTGTATACTAATACGTTATATCTCAGTATTTTTGTCATTTAGGGAATTTGGTCCTGATGACAGGATACTTGCTAGTCGCTGTTATATTTATTCACATCTTTTCTAGACTCGTAGCGATTTGGAGCTTCTGACAAGTGTCTGTACAGTATGGCGAGATGTCAACGTATATTTCAATGTCTTAATATCTGTTCCTGTTGGAATAAATACTCTATACCATTTATTCCGTTAGGAACATATACTGTAATATTTATTCCAGTGGAAATAATATTCAAGAATACTTTTTCCATTTGAAACTTATATTATGAAGGAACTTCTATTTTGTGACTTGGGATACTGTTAAGAGTTGACCTCCAGAATTCTATTGTTTGTATGTGTCGTTTGAGTGTTGTCTATTTTGTGACTTGGGATACTGTTAAGAGTTGACCTCCAGAATTCTATTGTTTGTATGTGTCGTTTGAGTGTTGTCTATTTTGTGACTTGGGATACTTTTAAGAGAATTCTATTGTTTGTATGTGTCGTTTGAGTGTTGTCTATTTTGTGACTTGGGATATACTGTTAAGAGAATTCTATTGTTTGTATGTGTCGTTTGAGTGTTGTCTATTTTGTGACTTGGGATACTTTTAAGAGAATTCTATTGTTTGTATGTGTCGTTTGAGTGTTGTCTATTTTGTGACTTGGGATACTGTTAAGAGAATTCTATTGTTTGTATGTGTCGTTTGAGTGTTGTCTATTTTGTGACTTGGGATACTTTTAAGAGAATTCTATTGTTTGTATGTGTCGTTTGAGTGTTGTCTATTTTGTGACTTGGGATACTGTTAAGAGAATTCTATTGTTTGTATGTGTCGTTTGAGTGTTGTCTATTTTGTGACTTTGGATACTGTTAAGAGAATTCTATTGTTTGTATTTGTCGTTTGAGTGTTGTCTATTTTGTGACTTAGGATACTGTTAAGAGAATTCTATTGTTTGTATGTGTCGTATGAGTGTTGTCTATTTTGTGACTTGGGATACTGTTAAGAGAATTCTATTGTTTGTATGTGTCATTTGAGTGTTGTCTATTTTGTGACTTGGGATACTGTTAAGAGAATTCTATTGTTTGTATGTGTCGTTTGAGTGTGGTCTATTTGACAAACACATCTGTTATGTATATTAAAATGCCACTACGTGCATGCTAGTAGTCAATCTGATGAATATAATTCAGATATATCGTGTCTTGCTTACTCGTAAAGTTATAAGCATAGCGAAACCACTGATCTACATTATAATTAGATTTCTTTATAGTTGACCTCCACTATCATTATTTAATGTTTCTTATTTGTTTGTTTGTTTGTTTTGTTTTGTTTTGTTTTTTGTTTGTTTTTTTTTCTTCCAGTCTAGTATATTGTTCTCGCACTGAGAAATAGTCAAATAAATGAAAAAAAATACAACTATTCAAATCATATGTAATGCAGCAGGGATTTGTTCAGTGGTGAAAATGGAAAATGACAGATATATAAAGAGCTATTTAAAGTTATTATACTTCATGTCAAAATGCCGGATTTTGGTTGGTTAATACGAGGGAGACAATTTACTGTATCCCAAGGCAAATAATCTATTACCCTTCACGGAGACGCTTGCTCAAGTGTGCGCTTTAATAAATACGGATGATTGTTATGTACAAGACTACATAGTTTATTACTTTGAATTTGAAATTTAATAGACAGTAATAACAGAACATTATAATAAATTAAATAACACATATCTGAGAGGGTGATAGAGCAGATTGTTACCCCTCGAAAAGACATTGTCAACCTTGGCTTCACCTCAGTTGACAATGTTTTCTCGGGGTAACAATCTGCTCTATCACCCTCTCAGCTATATATTATTTATATAATATTCATACGAGTATGATTTTAAAATTTTTGTTTTATAATTTTCCTATACTCCCATAGCTTTTCAAGACAGAATCTTAGAGCGTTTTCAAAGCCAACGGAAGGATAGGCACACAGTTCCAAACCATAAGTGGAATTTCGTTTCACCAATGTACCGTTCGAAACATTATTGAAATGTTTCATATGTTTCTTTATACAAATACACAACTTCCTGTTTTCTTCGCTGTTCATAACTTTGTCTAAGAATTCTACTCATCGCAGACTACTGAGCTTAGAGTACTGAGAGTGAGGAGCATTGATTTAAATATCTCAGACCTTACCAGAGACGGATTTAGGCAGGGGGCAGCTGGATATATGGTTAAAGCATAGACTTTTTACATGTTTCACTCCAAACGTTGCTCAATTTAGGGGGCACCTTTTTGAAAATCCTCGATCCGCATCTACTTAATTACTTCAGTTACTGTGAGTATTCTCCAACAGTGTGTTATTTACGAATTAAAGGGAGGTGTGTGGTACTTCAATAAGACAGACATAATTATATGATCTACAGACATATACCTACATTACATTTATGTTTCATTATAATACGTTATTTTGATTGGCTAACAGCAATCTCGCGTCATTCTGAAATTAATCTTCATTTAAGAATTGAATGCTTCTTTCTGTAAAATTGGGGTGTAAAAGCGTTGACCGAAGTCGATTTTGTATTCTAAAAATATGGGCACGGTCAATGCTTTTACAACCCTATAAAATTACTAAAAGAAGCATTCAATACTTATCATTACATTTTTTTTTGCTAGGATCATGAAAACACGATTTCTATCAATTTTTTTCTTTTATTTACCTGTGCACTTTATTGTGGAAGCTCGTGTCATCATGAATGTTACATATCATTTTGAAATGAAGGCTATGGTCAGATCATATGTTTTCGTACGTCATATGAATTCGTACTATGCATGTTTTTTCAATGGAAATGGTGACGTCACAATGCATTCTTAATAGCACGAAAATCCATGAGACGAGGATAATTTCAGAATGACGCGAGATTGCTTTTAGCCAATCAAAATAACGCATTATAATGAAACATACATGTAATGTAATTATTTAAACATGAAATGTAACATTCATGATGACACGAGCTTCCACCATAAAGTGCACAGGTAAACAAAATAAACAGATTTCAGGGTATCATGAACAAGTTACCGATTACACAATACATCCATTCCTTGATTTTGTTATTTCATAACAATCCCATTTGAATTTTTGCGCGGAAAAAACTCGCACCTGGTAAAATAAAACAGTTAATTCCCCTTAGTACAGACAAGTACCACGAAAAAACGAAAAGATACAGATATATATATATATAGTTTTACTTCCTAGTTAAAGTTTCACCCACTTTGGTAAAGTTTCAAACTTCCTGTTATTTTTTTGGCTATTATTGAAGAGTGTGTTATTTTTACGAACTTTAAAAAGACCTAAGGTAAGAAAGAGATTCTTTTCCATATGTTTTTCACACTTGTCTCTGATGATCATGATAATAATATAAATGAACTTTCTTTTTATGCACCTCAGTGGTACATTTACCTGTTGATTTCCCAGGTAGGGACTTCCCCATTACTTTGAAATGAATTTAAGTTGCGCAAATAAATTGAATTATTTTAAAGACCACCAGAACATGTAACTGACGTACCGTACCGGTACATTTGATAATTTAGCCTGAATAAAAATGGACACATGCAAGGACTTGACGAGTTATTCCATACTTTCATCAGCTTATTTACAAAAAACCTTGCTGTCTAAGATGTGTATATATTGACAGAGTGATACTGACAGTGGTAAAAGTCTAGTCCTATAAGCATATTAGTTCAGAAATAACTCTTCTGGCCTGACATTGTTCTCCTCAAGTTGTATTTTGAATTAAGGCTCTGTCACACATTGGTATTTTTACTATATTTATACTACCGTCCTTGATTGGACTATTCCTGATTAAAATTTGTCAAAAGTAGGCACTTCTCTAAAAAAAAATTACCTATAGACTTTAATATATATACATGATATAACACAAGGTACTTAACTCGCATTATTGAGAAATGTCACATGGTCGCGAACTTTCGTTATATTTCTATTCTGCGTTTGTCTATCTCAATGAAACTTATAATGTGTTGAATCTTCATTAAATTATCTACAAAATGGTGTATACGCCTATTTCTGTTGTCAGAATCATTCATAGCAGGCCTTCCAAGTACATGTAGGTCAACTGTAAATTATTTCATCTTCTCACGCTCCAAATGGCAATGTTAATCTTGCAGTAAACAATTAATTATATACATAAGTATATCTCGGTTTCCGATTGTTCAATCTTATTGCTAAAATTTAAAGTATATAGGTAATTTTTTTTCCACACAAGTGCTGTGATTCATGGCTGGAAATTTGTAAACCCATTTATTCAATCACAATAGCATTCAGATATAGTTTAGGAAGCTTCTTGTTTATCCTGTTCTAAATCAAATTCTGATCAGACTTGTATCATTTGCATGGTAATAAAAGTCTGAATCTGTCTTGAAAGCACCCCTATTCTTCTGAATGCTGTCCATCAGAAATCTGAAAGTGACCAGACAGTAAACTGACACGGGACATTGTTATGATTTTGATCCAATACAGCACAATCGGTCACGATTGTAATCTGAGTTTTCCTAATGTTATGGGACGCATCACACACAATTGTTGGGAGTGCTTTGCTGACATCCCCAAGAAAATGTCAATGGTTTTTCCCAGATGCCATCAGAATCATTGGACTGCAACAACAAAAAGTGATTTGCACAGCAGAATGAGTGTGCAAGAGATCATAGCTTCGCTAAATGTTCTAGACCTTGTGTAGTTGTATTCTAATATGGAGCACTATCACACTGTAGATACTTTTAATGTGAACACACATGTAAATTAATATGTTTTTCTCATACCCAACATGAACATAAACAGGACATAAAACTCCTGTAGTAGACCTAAATATTATTTGTTTATTATCAGTCCACTGTCACTAACATTTGCTGCTAACTCTAAACAATTTCTAAGTGTACCGTAAATACTCACTTATAAGCCTAAGTTCGTTGGTAATTTACGAGAAAATTTAGTATCCTTTTTATGGCATGAAAGTCCTTTACATGTACATGTATGTTACAAAAAATGGTGGTGTTTATAATACAAAACTGGACAAGAAGGCCAAAATCTTTTAACATACAGGATTTTACAATATGTTCATCTTCTTGGAAGAATTAGGAAATGTCTATATAGAAACCATGGAAAGGGAATTATGACATGATATTGTTCTTTGACTAAATTAGAAATTGAAATTTAAAGAAAATAATTTGCAGACAGACCAACCTTATCTTTAGTGCCATCACTTACAATGTAGTGTCTGTCCTCTGTTAACTTTTTGCATTTTTGTCTTCTTTTCTGAGATTGATTGATTGTTGGTTGCTTAATGTCCAGTGGCAAAAATTTCATGCATGTTCAGGACGATCTTTTCTAAGAATGTAGAAACGATATGTGTGAGCTCTTTTACAAACTATCCTCTGTAGGTTCCCATCAGATGTAAAATATATCTGTCAGAGGCAATCTTTGATTCAGATTTTGAATTTTTTTTTCAATCTCCTCCATTAAAACTACAAGGTAAAATGTTTTGAAACTTTGGGGATTGATGATACATGGTGGCACATAATCCCTATTTAAACACGGGAAAACCAAATTTCAGGCTTTTAAACGACATGCCAAATTTTAACCAAACCTTGGCAGAGATGATATACATGTATGGAAGGTCCGGATCCTCTACCATTGACCCTCATTTGGTACTATAAGGATTAAAAAAACATGGCTGCCAGAGTCAATTATGATTTAGATGGTGTCTTCTGGCTATTCCTACATTTTGTATTTTACTATTCTGGCTATTCCTACGGGCGCAGGACATTTTAGCGAAAAATTTTAAACTACTAGGGGACATTTTAGCGCGGACATTAGAGCCAATTTTAGCGCAGGATTAATCCTTTCACCTGTATTTTCGATAGCCCATTTTAGCAAAAATTTACCTGGTTGAATAATACTCACCTTACTAAATCCATGAACAGTAATGTATGCTGGCTTAATGTTGAAGTAGACCAAGTGGCCAGAAGTTCCATGTAAGTCAAAGCGAACAAATAATGGTCCAGAGTCGTTCCATGCCCATTATTATGTGCATTTAACAGTTGTCATGCAGCTATTAATGTTTTTCTTGATACTATCATCAAATTGCAAACAACAACAAAGATGAAAATACGAAGTCTAATAGACGAATGTGCACCACAGTCTAGACAAGCTAAAGAGAAAGAACAGTTCCTACTGCAATTTTATGAACATAATTGTACAGGGATTATATCCAGAGCCCATTACGTACGTTCTATAGGATATAAATTCCAGGCTAGAACGTACTTTTAACATTTGATTTAACCTTTTAGGCTTTTAGTGCTGTATTTTAATGGACATGATATTTTTCATATTGTGTTGTCTTATTCTATTAATATTTTCATTTATTATTAATTGTTTATTATAAAATATTGCGCTAAATTTAGCTAAAATGGGTTATACTTTGGCGCTAAAACGTCCAATTTTTTTCGCTAAAATGTCCTATCAATGTGCTGAAATGTCCTCCGCCGATTCCTACATGGGAGATTATTGGAAGAACAATAGATGTTAGTGTCTAATTAAAGGTCACAGGTAAATTTACCTTTGGAAATTAAATAAAAAATAATTGAAATTTATGTAAAAAAATGAGATTTTTTTTGTTTGAAAACATTTATCCTACAAGTTCCAGATAAAGTCAAGACGTGGAGAAATTTGTTATTGGAAATGCTCTACCCGTAACTGCCCTGCCACTATCAACACACACAACAACATACCAACCAAAGTGGATGACAATCACCACTCCGACAGAATGCAACTCAGAGTAGACGATGTACTAGAACGTATGAAATCCTGTTGTAAAGATGAACTCACTGCAATTCCAACTATCTATGAAGAAGAATTGGTAAAACTCCGTGACCCAGAATGAAATGATGACACACACCAACTAGTTGGACACATACCAACCTTCTACTCATGCAAAGACCAGCTTTACAACAAGAGACACAAGACATTACCTGCACTACCAACATCAGTAGCAGATATCACAGTATATGGTGATTGGGCTGAAACTTCTACTGGACAACCTTTCCTACTTGCAGATGATAACACCAATGGTCGAATGCTTGTATTCAGTACCCAAGAGAACCTCATACATCTAGCAGCAGCAGACACCATCTACTGGAACTGCTTCAAGATCTATGTAACTAATTCAACATACTAATACAACCAACTACGATGTTCCTTGCTTCGAAATAGCCATCAGAAACGCAGCAACGTCAATCTTCCCAGGAATCAACATTAAAGGGTGCTTTTTTCACTACACTCAGTGGAGAAATGCACCGAAGCATGGTTTGCAGACTGCATACAGTGAAAAAGTCAACATTCACCAACTTGTTCGGAGAGCTGCAGTTCTGCCTCTTTTACCACCCAATACAGTCGAAGATGTTTGTTTTAACACACTGGAGGACATCAATGCTGCAGATACTGATACACCAACTCTTAACTCAACAGACTATGTAACAAACTACTGGGTAGAAAACAACCAAAGCCTATGGAATCACTACGCAACAGAATGTCCTAGAACAACAAATCATTTAGAAGGATGGCATAGTAAACTGAAGAAGTTAGTCAAGGCACATCATCCACACATCTTCAGCATGATCAAGTTGTTGAGACAAGAAGAAGCCTTCCATGCTCTCACACTTATCCAATACAGAGCCAATGGGAAACATGTTCCAAGAAAGAGAAAATACAGGGAAATAGATGACAGACTTCAAACACTGAAAACAAGGTTACAGAATGATGAACTTACGTGAGTCCAGTATGGAGATGCTGCTTCTCATCTCCTGCACATTGATTAAGACTTTGTATTCTCTTGTGTGTTCAATTTAGTGCAGTGTATTACTGTGTTAGTGCTCTGTTTTAATGTCAGTTTAGTGTACTTTTCGGTGCTTTGTTTCAATGAATATGAAGTGTAACTCAAAATTTAGTGCTTTGTTTCAAAGAATAATTACTACAATTTTAATATATTTATATTTCAATTGATATTATTTACTTGAATATATTAATGTTTTCACCTTAATAATTTCAATTGCTTGTGAATAATATTGTGTACTTTGATCTATAATTGTTAACTTTTTATAAGACCACAAAAAAATTTTGTGGTCGTATATTGGTATGACGTTGGCGTCGTCGTCGTCCGGCGTCGGCGTCTGAAGACACATTTGTTTTCGCACAATAACTTTAGTTTAAGTCAATGGATCTATATGAAATTTTTCCATAAGGTTCAATACCACAAAAGGAAGGTTGGGATTGATTTTGGGGGTTATGGTACCAACAGTTAAGGAATTAGGGGCCAAAAATAAGCATTTTTGTAACTTCCAGACAATAACTTGTGTGTTAGTGTATGGATCTCTCTGATATTGTACCACAAGGTTCCATATCACAAAGGGAATGATGGGATTGATTTTGGGGGGTAATTTTAGGAATTAGGGGCCAAAAAAGGGGCAAAAAACAAGCATTTTTCTAGTTTCATGACAATAACTTGTGTGTAAGTGTATGGATCTTTCTAAAATTGTACTACAAGGTTCCATATCACAAAGGGCAAGCTGGAATTGAGTTTGGGGGTAATTGCCCTAAACGTTTAGGAGTTAGGGGCCAAAAATGAGCATTTTTTTAGTTTCCAGACAATAACTTGTGTTCAAGTGTATGGATCTCTCTGAAATTGTACTGCAAGGTACCATACCACAAAGGGAAGGCTGGGATGGATTTTGGGGGTAATTGGCTCAAAATTTTAGGAATTAAGGGCCAAAAAGGGGCAAATAACAAGCATTTTTCTAGTTTCAGGACAATAAACTTGTGTGCAAGTGTATGGATCTTTATGAAATTGTACTACAAGGATCCATATCATGAAGGGAAAGCTGGGTTTGAGTTTGGGGGTAATTGCCCTAAACGTTTAGGAATTTGGGGCCAAAAAGGTGCCAAAAAACAAATTGTACTGCAAGGTACCATACCATACCACAAAGGGAAGGCTGGGATTGAGTTTGGGGGTGATGAATCATAAGGGGGTTCAAAAAATTGGGGGGGGTTGGGGGGTTTCTATTTTAAGACTTTTATGATGGATTTAAATTAGTAATTATGGTTGCAAACTCCATTGGAAATTTGAATTGAGATTATGACCATATCTTGAGGGAAAGAATTTTTTTTCGGAAAAAGGGGGGGGGGGGGGGGGGTAAAAAAGAAATTGTGGGGGCAATTTTTTTTTTCATTTCAGATTTCAGAAATTAAAAAGAAAATTTCTTCAAATATTATTTCTTTTTGCCAAAAAAGTTTTTTTTTTTTTTTTGGGGGGGGGGGGGGGGGGGGTCAATACGCAACAGCATAGTGTATTTCACTAAGGCAAAAAAAAGGGGGGTAATTTTTTTTTTTGGGGGGGGAGAGGGGTTCAATTTCGCAACAGCATAGTGTATTGCACTAAAGCAAAAAATTGAATATAAATTCAAATCATATAACCAATTCTTAGAGTTCTTTGACTACAGTTATTCGGTGTCAGAAACCTATTATGTGTCAAATATTTATTTACAATCCAAATTCAGACCTGTAACAAGCGCGAATTTTGTGTCCATTTTTGCCCCAACTGTTCAGGGTTGGACCTCTGCAGTCGTATCCAGCTGCGCTCAGCGAAGCATTTTATTATACATTGTGACTTGGATGTAGAGATGTCTCATTGCACTCATACCACATCTTCTTATTTATATTTTGAATATTGTTTACACAAAATGTGCTATGAAATTATAAAATAAAATATTGAAATATAAACTATTCTTTTTCTTTATTTTCCACAAGATTTACCTGGATTTACCTTGGTTCGTTAGTTTAGTGTTGTTACAACATAATCCTTCATAATCCCATTGTTTACATAAAAATTCTGGGAACTCCAACATAAAATTTTACTATTTTACCTATAAAATTCAAAATGTAGTTAGAATATAGCAAAGTGCTCTCGACCAATGGAATTGTAGGATTTGATGTCTCTTAATTGTGAAGAATGAATGTAATTCATGTTCTTAGTAAGGGATTATCCTATTGTTTAGGCCTATTTACAGTTCAAAACAAAAGAGTTTCTATAAATGAGTTACAACTGCCCCGGAGCACATTTATCAGAATGAAAGGATTTATCACCAGTGATTGAAACTGACTAAAAGTTCAATTGTGAAAAAAAAACAAAAAAAAATCAAAATAAGTTGAAATTTACTAGTGCAGTAAAATTGGTACCTTTAATGTTATTATGAAATTTTAATAACTTCAAATTACTAAAAAATCAAACAATATTAATGCAATGATTTAAAAAAAAACACACAGTTTTAAAATCAAAAATAACCTTAATCTTTAGATTTCCAAAACTCTGATTAATGAACCAGCGATTGTGAAGAATAGTTATTTCCAATATTCCGATAAAATAAAACAACAAAAAAACAGGAATTTAATTTAAGTTTTCAATATATTTAAACTTTTAAAGGCATTTTATTTTGACATTCCCCTGACATAATGAAATAGTATTTGATTTAAAAAGCCGGACCAAAATATTGGCTGTGAAATGAAATAAGTTGTAACTCAAATGTATTATTTAAACTGTAAATTAAAAAAGGATAATTCCTCACTAAAATATTACATAATTTACATTCATACTCACAATCAGGAAACATATACAATTCCTACCTTTTCTTTGTACTGTTGTGTCCCCTAATGTCTATAACCCATTTTTTAAATATTTCCCAAATCATAAGAAAGTCCTTACATTACTAAAACTAATCCATAAATGAAATGCCGAAAAAGGAAGTCATGCATCAATTAGAAACATTGCACTGACAATGAAGCTAATTCTTGAATAGTCAACCAATCAAGAGATTATTTGAGCCTTGAGCACTTTACAATATTCTAAGTTTGTAAGAGAATGATAATCCCTTACTTCATTATAAGTACTCGCTAACGCTCGTACTTAATCATGAAGAAAGGGATTATCATTCTCTTACATATACGAATAGCCAGAATAAGATTCAGATTAGCCAATTGTCTTAAAAGCTCAATTTGTTAGAAGCCAGTAAATGATCGTAATTAAACAACTGTAAGGTCTGCATGCACACATATTTTTTTGGGGGTCTAATCTTGTGCAACACATATTGCCAGTTTTATGTTGGTTTTTTGTTCATGTTGAAAGGTTTTTTTTTGTTACAATTTAAATCAGATACATTTAAAAAAAGGAAATATAACAAGAAGTTGTAATTATTTCAGAAAATGCAACATTACTGATATTAATAGTCTTAGTTACCAATTTTGTAATTGAACCTGTAAAAAAGGTCAAATTTGTGAGTTGTTTCCCTTAGGAGGGACATACATTTTCATTGACAATAAAGAGCTAGTAGAAAGAGCAAATTTATCTGTGCATCATGTGTGTAATCTTTAAGTTTTTCAAATCTTTCAATTACATGTACATTTAATCTTTTGTTCAAGCTGATATTAAACAGTTATTTTTCATTAATAATTGGTTAAAATGTCTATATACATTTTGTACAATGTATATCACTTTCATCTTATGTGCCAGTCTTTATAAGAACCAGGCAATTTAGAAAAACTTCAAAACATGACCAATAAAAACCAACCGACCTAACCATCCTATTTTGAAGTTACCCTCATCCTGAGTTCGAAATGGTAGGTCTTTGTTTCTGCTTGTCTGGTAATAAATTCGAGAAATCTCTAAGATAAATTTTGTTTAGAATGATAGCAAATAACAGAGTTAGCTCCCCTTAGTTGTTACTTTCGAGTGCATTTCAACCAAATTATATCTTGAATTACCAGAACGAAAAGTAAACGAATGTTATATTCATGCACCATTTTACAATTTGAACATAAATTAATGTTAACTTGAGTGGGTTTTTGTTTGTCATGTTTTCACCACTGCCTGATTCTTAGGCAGATTGGCACTTATCATACTTTGCATGGACAGCAGCCCATTTTGTCCGGTATAGGATCAATCTACAATTTGCAAACATGGCAAAGGGAAACCACTTGTGTTAAAAGTATGTAATAATAGAATCAAATCGGTAATTGGCAAGAAGACAATTAGAACTAACATTTTGAAATCAGATCACATTTTTCATGTTTTTGGTATCCAGCCTTTCCTGAAATTGCTTGAATTTCTCTGTTAATCAACAATCTCTATATAAAAAAGCATAGAAAAAGTTTGATAACTAATAACTTTTGACATTTCTTTCTTTACATAAAATATATAAGGAAATACATAAATTACTAAATTACAAACATGTATGACCTCTGAATGTAGGTAGATACATTGATCTACACATAAGAAGCTACTGAGAGAGTTTTTGAGAAGTAGACGTTAAGGACACAACAGATTACAGGTACTTCAATTTTCAGATTTAGAAAATTCTAGCTGCATTTGTCATGTTTGTTAATATGGAGTATAAATCACTTAGCTCATACAACATTCTACAGCTTTCGTTTGTTATAAGAATTTCCTTGATAGACAGTTGCTGTTGACAAGGAAGTTACTGACTCAAGGGATTTTAATGGTTACATTTAGGGATGTCAACGAGTACTCAAGTATTCAAGTATCGCTCGGTAGTACCAAAACGATACTCGATCGGTTTCCTGTTAGAATATTGCTGAGAATATTGCTGTCTTCTTTATATAAAATTGATCTTCTTGAGAACCTCTTTCCGAAAATTAAATAGGCATCACTGAATAATCATACAAGTAAATAAAATACATTTTGTTTCGAATGCTTTTGCTAAATTATCATTTAAAATGCCTCCGAATATACGTGGGCTATACCTAGGCTAACACTTTAAACTAAACATGTCTTAGCATGATTCCGTACCGTCAGAGAAAATATTTTCATCTGCAAGGCTGTTATTTACAAAGTTGCAAAACAGACTGTCCCCAATAATAGTTGACAAGAAAATATTTCCAAATAAAATTAAAAACCAATTGTTCAGAGAACAATAGAAGGTTTTTCCACCCGATACAATATATTTTGATATTAAAAATAATAAAACTCGTTTAGAAATGTAATTTTCAGTGCCAAATGATAGCTTATTGTACGTTGAATTAATAAATACATGGTATCTACACATTTTTGTTTGAAATAAGGGAGATAAGTTGTTACTTCCGGTTTGAAAAATGTCAAATTCAGTCTCATCTGATAGTTTACTTGACACTGATTCCAAAAATATATGGTTCTATGTACTTTTACATTAAATAAGTACAAAAAATTGCTATTTCCGATTTACAAAAGGTCATTTCCAGTTGATTTCTTCAAGGTCATATGACTTGCAACTTAATGCACAAAGTCCCATAAGTTTATTATGTATAAATCAAAAGTTAAAGCGAAGGTTAAAAATATAGAACGTCAAATCAAACTTTGACCTTGACCCCAATTTCAAGGTCATGAAACAAGGGTCTCAAATCAAAAGACTCTAGGCCTCTACTATATATTGTTAATGAGTTATATTACCATACTACTAATACTAGATATAAAAGGGGCGTAAACTCCCATTAAATTTCTACGTACCCTTTCAACTAAAACTTATGTGTTACGACATGTCGCAACTAACAATTCTGTAAAAATATTTTGTCGATATCTTACAAGATTTCTGAAAATAAGTGATAACAAGCCAAAATCAAAATTTAAAACATGACCTTGACCTTTGACCTTGATCTGAATTACAAGGTCATAAGTCAGTGATCTCAAATCGAAAGATCCCAGGTCATTCACTTGTATGGTTTAGGTGTTATGCTGATTTCAATTACATAAGGGGAGAAAACTTCTATAAGGGTTGACCAAAACACTTCGACTTAAACAGGTTGAAGTTGCGCCCTATCGTAAACAATTACATGGCAAACACATCATATCATTAAACTTGACGGTTTCTTTTGAATAAAGATAACAAGCAAATTTTAAAATTTAGAACATGACCTTGACCTTTGACCTTGACCTTAATTTCCTCCAAATGGACCAAGGACTTCATATCAAAAGAGTTTAGGCCTCTGTGACTTATAATATATGAATTTATCCAACATATCACCTATGTTAAATTTTCAAAGGAAAATAACTCCCATGAGATGTCATCCAATCAAATCAGTTAAATTGAACCAAACCATTCTTAAGAGCAGACGAACAATTTGGTGAAAACAGTTTGTTAAAATCTTTTACGGTTTCAGAGATCTAAAGATAACAAGAAAAAGGGGACGCGGGGAGATAACTCCTATAAGAATAAGTGTTCAGTTACACAGGGTGAGTTTTGAAATCCCCATTACTGTACAACATCATTGGCCAAAAAATCCTTTCGATATGTTGTAAAACAAAAAAGCATCTCAGACGGCAGAAGAAAAAAAAAAAAAAAATCAGAAGAAAAACAAAAGGTCTTTCCACGAAAAGTGGAAAGACCTTATAAATTCCTTGCATCCTCTGGTGACCGTGAGTAAAAATTAAAATTCTAATCCTTTCGCCTTTGTAAGCATTAAATGTGTTTTCTTAACGATTACCAAATACTATTGTTTGATATTGTTTTTCCTTTTTATGATTTTTAAATAGGTGCTCATTAAATTATATTGATTAGATTATTATTTTTTTAATTAATTAGTACTTGTAGGTAATGAGCTATTAATTATAGTGTGTAATTCCTTGTCCCAGATACTTATGTAGATGGTTTTCCGTCCGTTGAACATAAAACCACAGAATGTAAAATACGTGTTTCCGTGTTGTTGATATATTCCCGAGCGAGTACTTGAGTATCGCTCGATAAAACCAATGAGTACTCGATTAGTAATTGTTCACCGAGTTGACATCCCTAGTTACATTGAATAAGTGCTAGTAGCTTTATGCCTAGAGGCAAATATTTGATGCACATTCAGGATGATAACAAATTAACAATTTATACAATTGGTAGGTTGACCCGGAGGAAGGGTGGGAAATTGGGACTGCCACTGGAAAATGAGAGTATGTCAAATAGAGACAGAAATATTACATTGCAACAGGCCTCCTAAATGTACATGTGTGGACTCCTCAGAGAGTTGTTGCAAGGGTTCTTTAATGTGTTTTAATAGCACACACCCTACATGAGGCAGCCTATTTAAATGTCCCCAATCCCGATAGTACCTGGCTGCATATTTATACATCCAACACAACCAAACAGACTAAAATTGACAAAGGGAAATAACTTGTGTTAAAAATATGAAATAATAGAAATAAATCTGTTTTTTCCTTTACAAATGAATTTTCCAGTTTCCCTTTGCTACTTGTTAGGGCACAGATACACAAATAGACTGCTATAAATTGTATAAAATTCTTTAAAATCTTGGTTCTGGATAAGATCTTTTGAAAATGGCTTTTCATTTTTTCAGGAATATTCATATGGGCATATGCCTTAAGGAACCCCTGTCCAATTTGTTTTCAAGGCAGGGGGTCTAGAAAAGGGGTTTTTGTATATCAAAGCTCTCATGCAAGCATTTTAAACACATGACAGCTATATATAGATTGAAACTTCGGAATCTCGTTTTCTAGATGAAATTTCTTGAATTAGATTTTTTTTTTTCTTTGTAGCCTTGTTATTGACCAGTCTGCCCAAATTTTTTAAATGGTTTCTCAAAAAGGTTTTTTGTATTTTAGGGTTCTGGAGAAAGTATTTATAACAATTTTGGTTGATATATCATTATGACTTTATTACGTTTTAGCCAAATTATTGGCTATGTCTGGGAGCACCCATCAATGGTCCATGGGGTAACATACCGGTAGGTTGGCCATGCCAACTTTCCTCTTGAATTTGCTTAATTGAAGGCCATGTGAGCTTTTGCTATCACATGATTTTTCCTCTTCATGCCTCAGTCTGTCGTTTCAAACTTTTTATAAAAAATTTCCTGGGCCAAATGTAGGAAAACTTTACCTGAATGTTTTTTAGGATATTTTTTTTTTAATGGTATTTTTTACATTTGATCCATCAACAAACCTGGCTGCTGTTGTTAAAAAATTAAATCAACTTGGCGACTATTGTGAACACCACAGCGATTAGATGTTGCTTTTGACGGTCAGAGAAAGCGAAGTGATGGATGGGAAAGTGACTTCTTGGCACAAGTCGCCTGCTAGCGTGAGCCGTGCTTTATTTTCGTGCGTACAAAGTGCTTTTCTGGGTTTACCTTCATCAGGAAAGCTCAAAGCTGAATATTTGAAAGCCAAGGATATATATTAAAGAACTGAAACATTTGAAAAAGTACCTTAAAATAAGGTCAGCTTTGCCTGAGGGAGTTAAAAATAGAATATAGGGGTAAAATGCAGTGGTTTGTTTATATCTTAAAAACTTAAGCAATTAAAGAAAAACTGATAATTGTTACATAAATTTCCCCATTAAAATTTGTAGAAAAATCAATTTTTAATAGATTATATTGCAAAAACTAAAACACTTAGGGCAAAACTGATACGGGACGAAATGATCAGCAGATCATGGTTTATCTACAAAACAATTTTCAACATAATAGCTGCATGTACGACAATCCATTTTGCCTAAAATGTAAATTTTTTGAAAATTTATTTTTTATTTAAGTTATCTTGAAATTTTTAAAAGAAAGAGAAAAATTTTAAACAGTAAAAATTACCAGAACTATAAGTCAGCATAGACAAAATCATCAATTGACCTGTAATAGGAGTTTACCTATTTTCAGCAAATTTTTTGAAAGAGGGTACAAGTTTTGCGTAATCAACAGTTTTCAACCCAGATCCCTGAAACTTCATAGGAAGATTGCACATATGTTGAAATTGTGCACCTTTTATTATTGTTTTGTTTGAGGAATTAAATTCTCATTTTTCCAGACTTGGGAACTTAGTCATTCTTCAAATATTTAAAACTTAAGTATAGAGTATACTCCATTGTTTAAGAAACAATCTGCATAACCCTGCCATTTGAGTTTTTTATCTTTTTTCGACTGAGTTGGCCCTGTGTTGAACGAAATCCATAACCAGCTTCTAGTATGGGGATGTTGATCATATGGGTGGGCAGGGAAAACTACCTTATTTGTGTAAACAACTCCTCTTTAAAGTTTTCAACCCAGATCCTTAAAACTTTCACAGGAAGATTGCACATATGGTGATGTTGTGCACCTGCTATTATGGGATTGTTTGAGGAATTATCGGATTGTTTGAGGAATTTTTTCACATTTTCCCCTTGGGAACTAAGTCTTTTTTCTGCAAAATTTTTGCAAGAGGGTAGCTTATTTTTGTAATCATTTCCTCCTACAATTTTCAACCGAGATCCATGAAACTTCACAGGAAGATTGCACACATGTTGAAGTTGTGCACCTGCTATTATGGAATTGTTTGAAAAGTTTCTCTCATTTTTCCTGACTTATT